ATACTGTTTATGTTCAATAAATGTATTTTTTTGGTATTTGCTTTCCTTCATGGTGTTGCAATTTTAATGGCAAGCAGTGTGTATAAAACACCAATCATTTTTTGTGGCAGTTGCAACTGTTCCATTAAAATATTAAATATATCTAGACAAATGCATTTATTCAAAACTTACAACCTGATTGCAGCCAAGGATCCGATTTGGAAATAAAGACGAACTATGTTACATTCAACATTTCAAGGCGGAAAGGAAAACGTTTCTTTCATGTATCACTTTTACTTCTTTTAAGAAAGTTTTCTCATGACACAGCATTAGCAATTTATCTTTGTATACATCTAACATAAACTGAAAAGAAGAAGCAAGACACTGTGCTTTTTTTTCTATAAAGAGTTAAAAAGAAGTTTGTAATTTTTGCTCTTGCGTGACTCTAAAATTCATCTGAAAAACATTTTAATATTTAAAATTACATTTCCTTTAAAATGCATCGACACTGTACGAAACGAAACACACCAAAATAATATCAAATTATATGAATGAAACAAAAAACAAAACAAACAATTTTAAAAACAAAAAACTGAAAAAAAAGAGCAAAAATAAACAAACAAACATTTTTTAAACAAAAAACAAAAGTGTGCAAAGAAGCTTGTAATCTACTATTACTACATTAAATTCATTGTAATCATTAGACTTAATTTTAACGCAGAAAATACTAAACACAAAAAAATAAAATTAGAAATTTTTGTATTTGTTCGATTTTAGATCGTCAGAAATCTTATTTATGACCTTCATGGTATAAAATAATACTTTTTCTAAAACATTGTTATGAAATACAGTTTTAGTAAATGATAAGTTTTACGATGTATTCAGCAATGCATTTTTGTAATGGCAATTTAAATAACAGATCGTATTTTCCTTTGAATGGCAACAAGGTTAATTAATGTGGACGATGCTCTATCGAAATTGAAAACAAAAACGAGAAAAGTAAGGCCTGTATGGAATGTTTTGCACTAGTGTTCATATTCGGATTTAGATTTCATAGTTTGACTAGACTCAGATCGCTTATTCTTAAAATCAGAGTTTTATAAAATAATGATTGAGCGTTTCTTAAATTTTGTAAATTATTAAAATTTCACTCCAATTTAATAATTAAATCATTATGTAGGATGCAAGAAGTATTTACGAAATTTAGAAAGGGAGTGAAGGTTTTAGAAACTTTATGAAGAAGGGAAAAAATGCATTATTTCTAAAAATGTAAGAATTTGTTAAAAAAGTCAACTTAAAAAAAAATTAAAAATCTTGATGTTATAACCGATATAGAGCTGATTGGTTTTTTTCTAAATATATATATATACATATACAAAGTTGTCAGTTATCCTAAAGTTTTACATGCTCAGCAAACAGGAACGGCAACTTTATGACGTTCTATTGAAGGAAATGCTATTAAAAGGTTCATCAAGGTTTATCGTTCTGACCCATTTGCCACTTCTAAATGCATTTAAAGAAAGGTAAATGACGATAAATTCTTTGCAAGAATCATTTTACCTGCATCAGACGTTTGATAAAGTATCAGATTCCTACAATGTATCTTATCAATGTAATCTTAAGTACTATTTTAACTCGTAGCGATTTTGGCATTAAATCAAGCCTTGATAATTGCCCTTTTAACAGAAGAAAAAAAAGTATTTCAGGCCTACAAAAGTTCCTTCCTTGTTTAATTTTTACGCTTCGCAGCGATTTATTGAAAGTGAAAACCATAATCCTATGTCAATGTCTAATATGTCATTCTAAGGAAGAAATGAAAAGTCATTTGGACATAGCCAACTCTCTCGAGTCTTTGGTTTCGGTTCAGTTATTTTCTTCCCTTGCTTCAGAACTAATTTGGAATTCAAGGCAGTTTTCATCCCTGTATCATTATGTCTTAGCCATAGCGCTGATATTTAGGAAGTGTATTAAACGAAGAAATAAAAATTTAGCACAATTCTTCCTCTTTTACTTCTGCAATTATTTCTAAATAAAATTAACTGTCATTTTCGAATACTGTCTTTTCCACATTTGGAGAATTTTATGTGCTGAGAGATTCCTCAGAGGAGTCTAATGCAGGTTTCTCGTGTCCATAGTGAAACATGGAGATGTACTTGTAATGCTGGAGTAAATGGAAATGCGTGGGCAATATGGATCAGAACTAGCTTAAGCCGCAGTGTCGTGGAAGTGTCTAGGAGCACTAATTGTTCTTTAAGATCACACGACTGTCAGGGACTGTACTATTGAACCAAGGCTGGCTGCCCATGTGCTCATCGTAATGCAATGCATTGCATAAGGGTGACACTACACATACAGTTCACACAGTAAAACTTAGAACAAAGTGGTTTGAGGAACACAAAAGTGAGAACAAATATTTTTCGTATCCTGCAGAGTCCACTGATCTCAATACTATTGAGGCTGCCTGGAGTTAGAAAAAATTGTCCTTCTCCACCATTCTGATGCGAAATAATTATTTGTTTTCAACAGGAACGGCTAAAAACATCTTTAATAATCAACAACACATTTGTCAGTTAACTCCAACATGAAGTGCTGCAAAACTGACCCAAAAAGAAACCTGCTCAATATTAAATATAATTACATTTTAAATGAGATGCTTTAGTTTCATTATCCGGCAATTCCTTTTTTATTACCATAGATATTATGACCACTGACAACACATTTAATGAAAGTTATAAATAAAGCTAAATCTCAATAAAGCACGTAGAGGTACATTTTTCTGATTCAGAGACCATAAAAAACCTAATGTGGACACCACAAGACTTCCTAGTACGGCCTATTAAGTTTATGCACATTTTTTCTGCATTTCACTTAAACTTATTTCCCCGAATTCTATTAGAGATATATTTCTCATTCAAACAATTCAATTCTCACTTCCCGGGAAGGAAAAAATGCATAAAAACTCAAAACATCTTCATTAAAAATTGTAAAATACAGAAAAACCTAAAAGACCAGAGTTAAAAAACAATTTTAAATATAAAATTAGAACTTAAATTAATTAAAATTAACCGAAAGACTGATTTTTCGGTGCACAAAAAGTTTGGCTTCCCTCGCCAAAACAGCTCTGAAATTGGTGCAGAAACTGACTTAGTTGATTATGCTATTAAGTTTCAAATGTAAACAAATGGTGGCGTCATTAGGCTTAGTGGAACTTAAACAACTTTTAAATTGTTGAAATTTCTACAACTATTGGATGCAGATTAACTAAAGGCATAAAACCCTTAACCGGAACATAAAAACAATATAAGTCAATCACTTTTAAAGAAAAATCCGCAATTAACCAACATATTAGAATAAACAAACTTAGCTCACCGAACCGGGAACATATATGCATATATTTATATACTTTTGGTGCGGCCGATTACAACCAAAAAGAGAGGTGCACATTGACATGTTATAGCAGTCCCATATACAAAATTTCAACTTTCTGAGGCTACTCGTTTTTGAGTTATCAGAGATACATGCATACGAACGTACTAACGCACGTATGTACAGACGTCACGAAACAAAAAACATCTCCTGAATCCATTTTAAATCCATTTTACAATCCGTTTTGAGAAAAGAGTCCTTTGTTCTGTCCGTGCTTAAAAATGTAACCCAAATACATCCTTCAAATAGAATCAAGAGCGGTCAGAATGGATATTTTCGCTAAAATACGATACTCGAATTTGTTTGCGATTACAATATTTTCTGTACTTCATACAAGGAAGTAAAAAGACAGTTTGAAGTCTGAAATTTTGATTGTTATATTTGAATAAATTTCAGTCTGCTGAAATAATTAGATTTTTCCAGAGAATCTTGCATTCACATTAAATCTGTTTATTCAATTTTAACACTATCGGATACATCTAAAACTTCAGTTTTGGGAATTTGTAGCTAAGAATATGTTAAATACGATATATTATGTTATATTTGTTATATTATGTTATATTTGTTAATAATTAAGATGCAAATAATGAATCAGGAAATGATACATTTTCGATAAAGTGGCACTTACCCGCGGTTTCATTACAGATGATATGGATTGCTGATATGTTTAGTTTACTCATATTGTCGTTTTAAACCATTACTTTGAATTAGTGCAACTAAGACACTATTTGTATACCTTCAGAGCAATTGCACTTATATTTTTCATTTGGTGTCAAAAGGAAGCATTCATTTGCCTAATTTAAACGAACGTTTTTACATATGTGTTTGAAAATTTAAATGTCGTATGCTGTTTATAAATACTGTAACTGTAACTCACAGTATATTTATACTATTATACAAGAGAGTAAAGAATATCCATATAATATATTTGTAAAATCTGTGCTGTAAATATTTAAGGAAAACACTTTCAAGTTTATGTACCTTACGGCGACGTTTTTTTCAATTCATACTTTTAATGAAAGACTTTTATCCGTTTAAAATTACACAGAATCATTAATATAAAAACGAGGTAGTCTAATTATTGATATTCTTGCACTAGACATCTTTGATTACATCGAATCAAGATAAACTGCTACGTCATCACACCTTAAATACGCTTTGCCAAAGAAAGGCTAATATGAGTCGAGGATAAGGTTTAGATTTGTTTCATCTCACTGGATAATCTGGAATTTAGGACATCATATACTCTGCGAAATCTTTAATTTAAATTTTAGGGAAGACAGCATTATGGAAACTATATATTTTTTTAATTTAAAAAATGTTAAGAACTCTTCGTAAAAAGAAAAGCAAAACAGTTCTCCGTTGGCAATTATCAAGAACTTAAAGCAAAATGTGAATTTTTATTGTTCTGATATAGCGATTAGCCTTTTTTAAACTGCATATAAAGTCTGAAACCATGCAGTAAGAGACGTTTCAAAACCAAGATGGTACAGTTCAAAACTTTATAACTGCTTATGGCGTTTCTTAGGATCAACCTTTTTAAAATACTATAGAATACATATTTGTTTATTTATTTATTACTCTTCTTTCTGTAGTTTCTCTTGTTGCTGATTCTGTCTGTTTCTCTGGTTATTGCCGCTCCTCTTTATGGAGAAGATGGCGGATATACTGGCCACGCATCATACGTCCCACTGAAAAAAAGTCTTGAAAAATTTCTCAGTCGAACAGAGTCACATTCGGATGACAGTATACACACATCTGCTGGAAGCCCAGGTAAGAAATTTTATTATTTTCAAGAATTCATTCAAAGATAATTTTTTCTGATATTTGAATACAGCAAATTTATAAAATATGGTACAAAATGGAAATACTTACCCAATCCAAATTGAAAATGTCGGAAATAGTCTCAGATATTTGAAAGGGGTGGATAATCTCTTATAATAAGATATTTACTTGTAAAACAAGTGTTCAGGGGGCTCTCAACCGGTGGCACGCAAGAGAAAAATGTTGTACGCAAAGAAGCAAAGTATTTTTAACTATTAAATTCAAACCCCAACATCCTTACTGAGTTTTTTCCCCTAACACTTGTAAATTTATGAGATCTGAGCTTTGTTCAAGAGTGGTGGGGGTAGTAGTACTTTGTAGTGATGGTACTAAAGGTTTTCAGTTTTTGTTTAGATGGTACGCGTTAGTCAAAAGGTTGAGAATCGCTGATGTAGAAGCATTATACAAGACGGAAGCAATTCAAGAGAAAATACTTTCTTATCGAGATAGAAAGAAGAGCAGTCAGAAAAATCTCGAAATCTTAAAACATCAACTAAAGCCTATCATGGCAGAAAAACAAACTGCAACAAAACTTCCCACTTTTTAAATTTAATTCTGAAAAGCGAAACAGCAACTATGAAATATAGCTGGGCAAAAGCAATTAACGTATTTCCTCGCATGTGTTTCCCCTAGGTTTTTCGCTCCAGGTTCTGAAAATTTTAAAAATATTTCGGTAAATTTTCGCTTCCTCAATATCTTTACAGAACAGACTTCCCTAAATTTTAAAATCGATTCGCATACGTAGTGATTGCTTTCGTCTCACTGACAAAGAAAAAACCTCGCAAACTATTTTTCAAAGGTCACGAACCTTTTTCCTTCTAATTGAACTTTACGCTATGCTGATGCAAGAACGACTAGTCACAGAGAAACAAACATCAACTGCACTTTATGATTTCGCTCGATTAGCTGCACATTCACCTTCTCTAATTATTTTTGGATGATTTGATGTCTAAAGAGTAGGCACAGACAACAATAAGGACGGTCGAAATTCAAATTACAGGAAAATAGAAATGTAGATATCCTATTATGTATTGTAATGTTGATACTACTATGTATTCTTTTTTAATGTAGATTTTTTTAAAAATAATATTGTGATAGTTACCTATTGTTTATTTATGACTAATTTTCATTTGTTATGTTCCTATTGTATCTGCGTCCTTTGTAAATGAAATTACTCACATAATTTTCCCCTCTGAATTCGCGGATGTTAAAATTAGTAAACAAAGGTGGGGATACTCGAGGAAAGATGGCATGTATCTAAGAATCTCGAAAATGTGCACCAACTTTCTTTTTAATAGATTAGTCTCTTCGCTGAAGAAATATTAAAATCAATTTTGATATTATTTTTCTTTCGAATTTAGGATTTTGCTGAAATTTAAATTTTTATAAATTATAAAATTTCGTTCAAACTCAAAGTGTTTTCCTCAGAATGTAGAATAAGCAGAATGAAAAAATGAATTTGTGAACAATGTAACTGTTACATATTACTGGTTAATTTAAAACTTTTGAAAGATATATTTAATAATATTCTTCAATATCATATCGCGTTAACGAATCATTACATACTGCAATACCGCGTTAGCGAATCGTTATATACTACAATATCGCGTTCACGCATCATTACAAACTACAGTGTCAAACAAATGTCTGTAATTTTTAAAAGCTGAGAACGCATGCATACAACATATTTGCTATGCTGTATTTTACAACTGCCTTTTCTTTACCTATTTCTCCCTTCCCTCCAATCCCGTTTTGAGATTTCTAAGTTTTATTCTTGATATGTTTATGTCCTGAAATTTATAAACTTCGAAATTCAGTCGTTATGCTTTTCTGTACAATGATTATTTGCGTGACTGTTTTGCTTTCGCTGTTATTTTGAGTGCAATGATTTATATACGTTAATTTTGGCTTACACTCCGTTGAAGATATTCTTAAAGCTTGTTAATTACTTTATATTTCTTATTCTTAGTCAGTATTGGTCTTTCACATATTACGTTTTTAGTGACTAAAACACATACATCCGATTTCTTAAGCTAATTTCTATAACACCATAATTATCTGGTAATTTCTTTTCATATCATTTTATACCATACTATGCGTTGTATATTATGTATCAGTTTCATTAAATTTTGCATGTAACGAATAATCGTAATTTTTGTGATTTTTCCTTAATTTATGATAATTAGTGTAAATAAGACAAAGAATTTTTTAACACAGGAAGAATATCGCAAGCAAAATCGCTCTCAAAAGTCTAGAAACATTTTTTTGAGCAATATGTTGCAGAGCAAAATAATCATAGACTTTAAAGTAAATTATTAGCTCTCGACCTCCTATATTTAAGGCAAGATGGAGGGAAACACATCTAGAAGCTTCGAAAACAATCCCCCCTAGATCTTCAAAACTTCAAAAACTTATTTTATGGAACCTTCCAGACTGTCACCTAGTTAGTTAATGAGACGTTGTCAATTTTTCTGCAAATATTTTTACCAAGGCCTGGTGGAAAGAGTTTTTGTTTGTATCTCTCGTTCTACTAATCTTGTAATTCAAATGCTAATTAACCGAAAATTAAAAGCTCCACAATATAATATACAATACTTATTTTTCTAAATCAAAAAACATGAGACACGCATGGAAAGAATGCCTTAATTCCTAACAATATTTACACGATGTTTTCTTAGGCTAAACGTAGGAAAATGCTACGTAAGTGCGCATATTTGGGATTTATATTAATTTAGTATCCAAGCTACGATATAGGGAAAACTAAATAAACATGCTTTAAATATTATGTGCGTTATTAAAATGGACTAATCTGATCGTAAACGTTTTTAATTTTATTTTTTTAAAGGCTAACATTGTCGAATTTTGCTACATTCATTTACGTTGATATGAGCACATTACACATGAACAACACTTGTAAGTGGTAGGCTTGTTTAGCATCTTAATGCGTACTTACTTAACTGCATGAAAATAAAACATGAGTTTTATCACCGTAGATCTGACCTTAGAATTCCTCTTTTTGACCAATGATGAATGGACTAGTGCTCGCCATTAGAATTTCTTGAAGATTAATACGTTTTAAAAAGCATTTAATTAATTAAAATTTTCCTGTTAGTATTCTAACCTTATATAATTTTCTAAAGTATGTTAAGATAGTTAACGACGATTGAACTAGCTAGTGAAATTTACGAGGAAATACGTTTTCGAGTTAATGAAATCGCGCAGAATGTTATTTGTTTCTTTTCATCTTCTCTAACATGTAAATAGATTTTACGAAATACAGAAGGATGTTTATAAGTTATATTTATCGCTATCTGAGATAAATTTACGTAGTCTAGACAGGCGATTAATTTTCATTAACTGTGTTGAAATGGTCGAAAAGGAAAATCTAAATATAGAATTCTTTTTTAAATTTTCAAGAAAAGCGGTATGTTTTCGTTTTAGAAGCCTGAATACTAGTGCTAAAGAAGGGAAAGATTTATATTTGCGAGATCATCCCACAAATATAAATCTTTCTCTTTCTTGTTTAGGCTAAAAAAACTAAAAGAGACTTAGTATATGAGATTTCGTCTGTTGAAATAAGACATTTGTGACATAAGTACTCTCTTAGTGTCTTTTCAGGTACTGATTAAACGAGGCATATGATGCACAAAAAAAAAAAAAAAAAAAAAAAGAAGCTGTTAACAGTTCGCTTAAAGTATACTATCAAAGTAGATAAGTATGCTTTAAGCGAACTGTTAACAGACCCAGAAATTAGAAATGAACGTTCAACTTCAAGTATTTCTAATATTTATTTTTATTTTTAAACTATAAGTACGTGTCGAAACTTTCCATATAGAAAATAGTGGCTTGAATATATATGTAAAGAAAGATTACATCAGTCTAAACAAGAATCACTGTGACATACGTTTACTCTGGTAGTTACCATAAAAGCATAATTTGAAATTAATTTAATTATACTGTAGGGTTTCCCTTATTTTACGTAACAAATTATTTTAAGTAATGAACCATTCATTCTCCCCTAGTATTTCCTCACCAGGATGCAAATTTAAAGTCAGGTGGAAAGAGTATTTATGCAGACGAATCTGCTGTTACGCTGAGTTTCTGATAAGCCCTTTTGGTCATTTAATAAGTATATGACCTGGTAGGTTGTTGAATCAGCCTAGTTAGCCTTAATTTAAATTGTTAGTCCAGCACTCCTCTTTATTTTTTAATTTATTATGAAAATATTCTTATATTCTACCGCAAATCGTCGGTGTTATTGTAAGTACGAAGTACGTGCATTTGTGTTAAGAGTTGGATTAATAATAAAGGGTGTACTTTTCCCTTCTTCTGTGCTAGTATTATTCACGCCTGTGCGAGAAGTCGCCAGGTTTCATTAGTAAGGTTCATTTTAGGATTGCAAAGAGGAAAAGGTCCTACAACACTGTTAATCATTGCTTTGATTAAATTATGTTTCATATGAAAACCTGAAAACTTAAAATAGAACAAGTATTAAAAAACAATTTATTTAGATTTCGATTATTTTATTAGCATCTCCATCACTTCAGCTTCTGTGTGATCATTTACCGATTTGCTGTGTAGGAATTCCCTTGGCAAAACTTAGAACTGCCCGGTTAAATACAAAGGTACGCGTAAAGTATTATACATTTCCAACTTCTACTTGTCAAAGCTAGAATTATATGGGCATTTCTCAAAGGAACAAGACTCTTAGTTTTGACTAGTCTCACAGCGTTTTGCTCGATATGAATAATATTTATTTATTTAATTTTTTTTCAATTATACCTCTCTCTCTCTCTGTATTAAAGATAAGTGTAGTAAAGACGTCAGAATGGCTAAAGTTGAAATATATACTGGCAGAGCTGGATGATAGAACGTAGACTGTATATGTCACTATCAAGAGCTCTATGGCTGAATCGCTTCAATCAATTATTATTAACTGATCGGAAACTGTTTTATTCCCCTTGTAAAATCAACTAATTTCAGTTTAATAGCAATAATTGATTCATTCGTTTTTCTCAAATTTTTTTTCCATTTTCATAAATTTACTTTTCATTAAAAAAGATAGTTTACTTGTTCTAAACATAACAAAAAAAAAAAAAAAAAAAAAACTGCACAAGCATTTAAGTTCACAGTTTTTTTTTTTAAGTTCCTTATTTTCTTTTCTATTCCTAGCAGATAGTATAAGTACTGTTCCATTATATATATAAACATATATGTAATATTTTAAGGTGTATTGTAAATTATATGTTTTAGTATTTCATAATCTATATATGAGAAAGGTCATGAACAATGACGGGGCATAGGAAAACCTGCAAGCTAAGTCCTTGATGTTTCCTGATGTCTTTCTTCATATGATAAACTTTCTCTACTTTGGTAATACATTAATGCTTTTTCTTCCACCATGCTCTCTTGACCATTTTGAAGAGGAGAATAGTCTGAATATGAGATTTCGTCTGTCTTTAGTATAACAAAATACGATGGCTGCGCTAACAAACTACTGGCGACCTCAAAATTAACTTTTCTAAATTTAGTGTTCTCTCCCTAAATTCATCTGTTCTCCCAAATTGAATATAAAATTTACCAATAGCAGATTAGATATACTTATGCATCTACTTGGTATAAGTATTGCTTTGCAAAACAACTATGTCATTCCTTTTCGTAACTTCTACCCTGCAAAGAACTCTTCGCGGCTTATGCTGTTCTGTCTAGAATGCTTACGTACTTTTTAAAACCAGTGTACATAAAATTATTGTATTCAACTATGATTGGATAAATGCCTTGTCTATTAAGAGTGAGCTGATGCAAATTATCATGGAATAAAGTTGTGTTTAGAAACGGTCACGTCTGGAAGTTATTGGTTTTTGCATCTGTCTCTCCAACTACGTACCTAAAGTGTCATATATATATATATATATATATATATATATATCCAAGAGAGCATCCCTTCCTCCAAATATATATATATATATTTGGAGGAAGGGATGCATGTGTCACTATAGATCAGAGATTCCCATCCAGGGAGGAGGGATTTCATAGCCCCCCAGGTTGATAAAAAATGACAATTGTGACAGGAAAGAAAGTTTCTGCTTGTTTCCGTGTCAACAAAAATTTATATTATATCCCAGCGAATCAGTTTTTGATAAGGAAATTCGTTTAAGTAAGGGGTTCTCAACCCTGTGGAAATTCCCACTGGAGGGTAAATTTATAGTTTTAAGGAAGAATAGGGTCAGCTTTATATTTGTTGTTAAGTATTTAGTTTTAGTTTGTGAATTACAAAAGCAAAAACAAGAACAAAAAAAATTTAAATTTTTTTTATTTTTTTATTTTTAGCATTTATCAGTATTTTCTATACTTTTTTTGTTTAATTAAAACACGTGAAAAAGTAATCTAAATCTAAATATGTATGTATTTTTCGAGTTTGGGGAAGAAGAGAGGGAATTATCTTCTAACGATGGTAAAAGGAGTGTATGGAACAAAACAGGTTGAGAGTCGCAGGTACGGACCGACAGACAGACAAACATATACAGTAATTAAGAAAATAAAAAGGGTACAGAAATCTCCTGCCAAGAGAGCTATCATCACACTTTAAACATAAACTGAAGTGATTGCTTTCTGTTAGATCATTTGTTATTACTCACATTTTTTGAGTTTTGTCTTTTAGGTGAACTGCAAAGATGAATGGCAAAAACAGTAATTTTAAGATGCAGGATAGCAACAAAAAGGGAAGTGCTAACCTGCACAAGACATAGAGAAACGTTTCTTCATATATGACAGTATTCAAAGACGAAAGAATGATAAGTGTGGAAAACAGGAGTGCCTTATAACCAGATGTAGAAACGTTTAGTGCGCTTCCGCTGCGAAATGATTAACAGCTATCGTATAATTAATATGTAACATAGATTATTTTCATAACTGTTACATATAACAGTGTACGTAATTGTAACGTAACATGTATTCCTAACAGTGAAAAAGAAAATAAGATTATTCCCTAACAGTGAAAATGAAAGTAAAATTATTTATCTAAGAATGTTCAAGCCAAAATACTTCATTAGCCAATATTAGCGATATTATATCTTTATATTCAAAACTTCACCAGTTCTTATGAATCGATTTTAGAAATGCATTTCTCTGTCTGTGTTAATGTTTATCTTCACATTATGAGTATGTATTTTTATAATTTATGACATGGTGTAATTCTGCAAAGTTTTATGTATAAAAGCATTAAATAGTATTATGCTACCTCTAAATTTTTATTATATATATGCAGTTGAGTGTTGTCTCTTGAAGTTGTAGGGTTTATATTTATTTTAACTAACATTTATTTTAAGCTATCTTTCCTGTCAAGCCTTTACTTTCCCCTAGAATTGCCAATGCCAGAGTATGTAAATCGTAGTAGAACGCGCAAAGTAGTCAAAATTGTCAGCGGAAGTATTCTGAGTTAAATAGAAGGGAAACGAGTTCGAAAGTGTGCTTTCTTGCTTCACGAGCGTGGAGGTGGCTAGTTAGGAATTGAAGAACCATGCGTTTCGGCCTGTGTGCTTGCCTCAGTAGATAGTTAAATCTTTCAACGTAATATTCAGAAGTTTGCTGAATCTCAGCTGTATCTTAGAACGCGGTTAAGTTAGTTACGATTATAGAGCCTCGTAGGTAGTGACCTCGTTATTTATTCATCCTGTCATTTATTTTTAGTTGTATTTTTCTATTTTGTACACATACAACACCGCCGGGTCGGCGTAGTTTGTGAGCGTCAAGTGAACGCATCTGTGATTTCTAAAGTGGAATAAAAAGGAATTTAAACCCTTCTTACGAGTTTGTGTAATTTACAGTTCATAGCAGTCACTACTACTGTTCCTGACAAGTTGGGGCCACGCAACATTATAAAGTAAAAGGTGGATTTATATATTAGCGAAAATCAGACTAGTGGCTGCAGTTTGTTCCTGAAATAGCCCTAGGCTTATATTCTTTGTAATAAAAAATATTATCGTAAAGTTTGAAATCAAGATATATAATTAATAAAGATGTATAGGTATATTTTATTAATTATGTAATGGGAAATTTTATTTTTTATTATTATAATATCTATATAATAATAAACATAAAAATTTCAATTTTATGATAATTAATTATTTCTTTATTACATTACATTAATTACATAAAATTATATGCAATTCCAAGTATCTAATTTCGTTATCTTATTTATATAATTCCAAATATCTTATTTTGTTAAAGAGATGCATGTCAATTAATTTGTTTTCTAATAGATTTTTGATTTGTTCTTTTCCGCTTTTGCAGAGTTGACAAAAAGGCCCTCCAAACAAATCGCCCCATTGCTGCACGAAGACAAAGTAGTCCCGAAAGTTTATGACGTAGCACAATATGCTCCTACTTATCAACATGGATACGGTAACAACAAAATAACCGCGGAAGTACCTTCAGCACCGTACGCTAAAGCTACTCTTTACGGCCCTAGTAGTGGAGGACACAAAATTGCTGACGCTTACCAAAATCAGTACATCGATTCACCTTCAGATAAGGAACATGACTATAAGGAAGATTATGTAAGTTTCTTCTGTGAATAATAATATTATTTGTTGACCCTCGTATTTAGGAGTAGTATCCAAAACAAAATTAAAATTAATGAATTTCTTTATATCTATATATTTATATTAATTTTCATATACGCTATAAATACAAAAGACTCTGTATGATAAGCGCCTGTGCTTATGTGTCCATACTGTCAGTGTGATTAGCTTTTGAATTTAATAGTTCATCTATGAGCGAGCTGCTAAGCGAAGTATTTAATCCAGAATGACAGAGAAATATATGTAGAGTTTTAAGCAATCTTACGATCTTTATTAACCTTTAACATAAACCTTTGTGAACCATTTTTTTTTTCATGAACTAAGTACACTATCATTCTCTCTTTATTCCTTTTGTTACAATACCTCAAAACACCAGGAGATTCTGATTATATCTATAAAAAATCTAATGTGGACACTACATGTCTTCCTTGTGTGGCCTGTTAAATTATACACATTTTATGCTGCATTTCCTTTAAGCTTGTTTTCTCGAATTTGATTAGAGATATATTTTTCATTCAATTAATTCAGCTCTCACTTCGCGGTAAGGCAAAAATACATAAAAATTCAAAACATCTTCATCAAAAACTGTATAATACAAGAAAGCCTAAAATACCAAATACGGTTAAAAACAGTTAAAAAAATTTTTTACGATTAAAATTAGAGCTTTTGCGCAAAAACAAGCAATTTGGCTAGCGGACAGGTTTAGTACCACTTAAACAACTTTAAAATTGTTGCTAATTTCACAACTAACTACATGCAGATTAACTAAACGCATAAAATCCTTAACCGGAAATTAAGATCAATATAATTCAATCATTTTTAAAGCGAAAAATTCACTAGTTACCAATATATACAAATAAAAAGAGCGAGCTCTCCGAGCCGGGTAACAAAATAAATATGTATATGTATAAATATATATATATATATATTGGTGTAGCCGACTGCAACAGAAGAAAGGAGGCTAACATGTCCCATGCACGAAATTTCAACCATCTGAGGCTACTCGTTCTGGGGTTATGCGAACGTACAGTATGTATTACGTATGTATGCGAGATACATACATACGTAATACATACTGTACGTACGTAGAGACGTCATGAAAAAAATCTCTTCTAAATACATTTTAACTCCATTTTACAATCCGTTTGGAGGAAAAGAATTCTTTATTCTGTTCGTACGTACAGATGTCAAGCGGAATCATCATTCAAATGGATTCAAAAACTGTCAAAATGGTTATTTTCGTTGAAATATGATACCCGAAATTTTTCGCGATTACCATTCTTCATTTACTATGAACAGAAAGTAAAAGCGCATTGTTTAATATGTGAAAATCCAAAATATGTTATCATCAAGATAACACGCAATTAGATCCATATAATTAAAGAAAGTACTTTACATGTAACACAGTAAGAGAATTTTAATTTTCTTATAGCTCTGTTTGTTTTGCCGTAGGAAATGCAATAAAGAAATCACAAAGTCAGAAGTATCTGCTTACAATTTGTAAAACTTCCGTGTGGTTCTGTTTCGCGAAACTTCCGTCATATAACTAATGCAATTTTTTTTTTTAATTTTTTCAAATTAAGAAATTTCCGAAGACAAATTTTTAATGAATTTTACTAAAAAAATTGCAGGCAAATTAGATTTATCTTACAATGTAAAATTAGTGGTCCTGAGCACATATTTAAACAGAGTTTGAAATTTAAAAACTTTCTGAGTGTGAAAGTTTTTAATATGACATATTTGGATTTTTTCCTTAATGTTTACTCAAGGGGGAAAAACCAATTAACTGAAAGCTTAAAAGAGTTATTAGAATTTTAAAATTTGCTTGTGTATCTATTGCAAAAAACACTGTAGTTGCTAATTACATTGACCATTTATTGTTAATTGTTTATCAATGTGTTGATAAAAATGACACTTCTGTCTTTTTATCACAAAATATGTTTCAAACTTAGTAGTTCTCTTCTTTAAATAATATTATTTTGTGTTATGGTATTCAGTTCACAAAACAGTAGATCAAATTTGAAGTTGTTCCTTCTATTGAGTACAATACGTTTCTACTGATGTAGCAGGTGCAGTTTATCCCTATTTTAAAATGAATAAAGAAATAGAAAATTTAGGTTATAAACAGTGTGAGTAAAAGTTTTATGTAACTTACAACGTAAGTTACATAAAACTTGCTCTGTATAACGTAAACTTATTTTAGTTGAAGGTTATAAATATAAGACAATAAATAAACTTTATATTATAACATACAGTATTTAAATGTTTTTAATGAATTATTCCTTTTTAATAAAGTCTGTTGTCCTTTTTATAGTTGTCTTATCCCCAACCGTATGAATACGGGTACGCTTTAAAAGATGAACATGGCAACGTACAGCACAAAAAAGAGAGTAGTGACGGTCATGGTAATGTACGCGGCACGTACGGGTTTACGGACGAGCACGGATTGTACAGGAGTGTGGAATATGTGGCGGATAAAGGGGGATTTCGAGCTTCTATCAAAACCAACGAACCTGGCACAGAGAATCAAGATCCCGCAGACGTACATTTAGAAGTTGAACATCCAAAATACTGAGTCATCCAGGTGAGAATTACAAAGAATAGCGATTTTACTTTTTGTAGCATCTTAAATTGTTTTTCAAATCTTTCACGTCAATCACGGCAAATAATAAACCTCGACTTTCAACATCGAGCTCATTAGGTGTAGGAGACTTCGTAAACATTACTGATCAGCTGTCTTGTCGTTTCCGATCAACTTTGATGTTCTTTATAATATTTGTATCACCTGTCATTATACGATGTTATATTCTTTATTTATATTTTGTGCCATCTGTCATCACCTTCTATCCAATGACTAAATTAGAATGAATCTTTAATGTGTAATCATTATCTTCCCTTTCTCCCTGGAAAGTAAAACTGCAGATTATATACATTATGTCTACTTTATATATGATATGCATTTTAATCTTGTACTCTGAGAAAAAACCTGTACAGGTCATTCACATAAAACGAACACGGTAAGAATTCCCAGGGTTCAGTTGTCTTATCTACTTGGTACTGGTAGTAACTCATATGATATTTATATAACATATTTAAATATATTTTTTAATGTTATAGTAATATTAATTTAGGTTTTAAGTGTTATATGGAGGAGATTTATTTCATTTTATTTTAAATCACGTTAAATATTTCCTACCTATTCTCAACTATTTTCCACATGTATTCAGACACTAAGTCTTGATGACAGGAATAATAAGTTTTCAATTAACTGTTTGCATACAAAAATAAGTATTTGAATATCATTATTAATACATTATCTTCACTTTGCCGGGTTTTACTCACACATTTGCCTCCTAAGTAAAGCTCACCAAAGTGCTTCTCAGTTATGTTCAACAGTACTTTTCTCAGTCATTCTATCTCTCGCTGGATATATCTAATCAAATGCTTAACATGTAATTTTTCAAACCACACCTCGTCAATCATTTTTGCTCTCCACATTTTTTATTTGTTCAGAAAAGTTATCGGAAGGATAGTTTACGAAGAATAACATCTTTAGTAACATTTAGAAAGGGATTGAATTCCGAAATTTACTTTATTTTAAAGCAAGTGTAAAAAAAAATACATTACATCAAATGCTTTAGAAATTCACGAAATTAAACACTCGAGCATTATATCAGCTTCAGGAAAATCTTGTAATATCTATTCAAAGAATGTTTTCTTAAATACGCTTTCCTACGAGAACTTAAACGTACCACAAATGAATATTTCTTCCATGTAAGGAAAAAAAGCAGAGAATGAATCTCTTCATTAAAACAAAACTATGACTTTAAAACGTTCTTTCCGGGAGTAAAGAAGTGCTACCACATGCCCTAGATTTATGGCATTATTTTCTAATTACAGAGCAATGGTTGCAGTTTACGAGAGAACGGAAATTCTGAGGTTGAAAAACCTCATAATTTCTGAAAACATTCGAACTGAAATCAATGTGTGAATTGCTGTGCAGTTTAGTATATGTCGAATCTAGTAGTTACAGACAGACTCGGAAAATAGTAACTGCAAAGTAACTGTTATGCAAAGAAAGCGCCGATTTGCTAGCCGCCTGGAAGAGAGGTGTGTGTGTATTTAATTATGGCAAAGCACACTAGGGCTATCTGCCCTAGGGAAGGGATGCCTTCGTGGAGGACTTCTAAGGGAAACTGGCTCGTATACACGTTACACATGGGGAAAACCACGAAAACGCCCATGCAGCCAGCCCGTTCGCGGGATTCGAACGTCGGACCGAACTACCAGTGTTCAGTGACTTTACCGCTCGGCCGCTGGTGGGCTCTGGAAGAGAGGAATTACGAGAAATATTGCTTTTGTCGTAAATGAAGATTGTCATAATATATACATGAATTGAAAGAGTCCAAAATTTGATGTAATTTCCTTACATCAAATTTTTTCAAAACAAATTTTCCTTATCATTGGATGTCATGTCCCTAGAATCTCTAGACTTCAGTTGCCAGATTACAAGCTATTCATAATTTTGTGAAACATTTTCAAAACCTATAATAAATCAGCCTATTCAGATACCAGATTTATTGCACTGAAAGAGAAAAATAGAAGAAAACGCAGCAATTTTTTCCCTTTCCTTTTCTTTTTCTTTTTTTTTTTTTTTTCCATATGCCACAAATGTCCAAAGGCTCAATCGTTGATGATGAGCATACAACTATGCAATAATCCCTTTCATTCAGACATGGCAGTAAATCATGATCGATGACGGCCACTTTGATGATACGATTTCGAAGATTCGGGAGATAAGCGGGGAGTGGAGGTATAAGGACTGTTTCCTTGAAAACTCCCAGAACAAAAATTCACTTGGAATTAAATCGTCCTATACATGCCATCCACAAATAAGGCAACTTTGATTAAGTTACGTTCTTAAACAGCATTTGTTAAAAATATTGATTATGATGTTGTGACAGTCTCGACGACAGTTTTCGCAGTTGTGAAGTGAATAATTATCTTATTGAAACCATAATCGTGACTCTTTGCTTTTTCCACTATACTGTTTCACTATACTGTTTTACAATATCCAATCTAAATCTTCAAAAAGACGCACAGATCCTGCCTCGTCACAGAGGTGGGCACATTGGACATTTTGCAAAATTTGCAAAAAGAAATTAATAAGTTTTCTCTATTATAGTGTAATAAAATCTGGTGTCGGCTGTTCATTGAAAGAATTCATGAAAAATTTTAAACACATTTTGCGAAATTATGAATAACCCCGTGTTCATAAAATTATATGGAATTAGAGTTTTTCTTTTCCTTTTTCCCCCCTCCACATAATCACATCCACATATTCAAGGTTTAAAACCAGTTTTACATTGAGGGGAAGAACATCTAATACTAGACAAAAATAGAAATTTAGGAAATTAAATTCAAAATGAGAGTTAAAATTGCTGCACATTTGGAAAAGAAGATCAGGTAGGATATAATTATGGGATTGTTTATATTCAGATTCATATTTTTATCAGAAAAAGGACTTCCTATGGTAATGTATATCAAGGTAAAAGAACAGATTTTTATATACGGGATGTTTTAAAACTATTAAACTTCTAAATACCTCTTCGAAGTTTGGTCGTAGTCCTGTATTTGTCCTTCAAAAATGAATTAAACAAGGTAGATAGTGACGTAGTACATTATAATGAAAATATATTCAACTTAAAATTTTATATAGACCCTCCCTATAATGAATATTATTTTTATTCTAGTTAATTTACTGTTTGATTTCAGTATGCAGACAGATTAGATCTCCGAATTTTAACGTAGCCGGCAGCCAAGGATTTAAGCGGTCTTTAACTTAGGCCTTGGGTACATTGTAGGTGACAGTACAAATATACCCAGCTCTGTTCCAATGTTTAACGAAAATCCCGCTAGGAATGGATCCGAGGGTCTCTCAAAACTCTTGGCCTATCGGTAAACTCGAGAGAAAACTTTCGGCTCAACAATATTTTCATTCCATGCTGCAAAAACACTAAAAAAAATCCATACCTTCCCTGGGATCCGAAATTGGGACTGACACTATGGTAGCCAGCTCCCTCACCAGCACATCAACAAGACACAACACAGATTATTATTAATAAAAGCAAAATTTGAGTCGAAGAAAGGAAAATTGAATTGTAACATTAATATGAACAGTCTTTTGAAACCAGTTTTTTTTAATTACTTTTTTTCGTATGTAAAAGGTAAAAGAAATAAAGATAGTTATGCATGCAATGTTTTCAAATGAAAATATTTTTTTCGGAAATTTCAATGTAACAAGCCTACCTTTCTTTTTTAGTATTTGCAGAAAGTGTGTAAATATTTAAATATCTTGGATATTGTAGATGGTATAAAGATAGTTTTCTCTTCTGGCCTTGATCTACAATGTTGGCTATGAAATGCAATTTTGTCCCTGACATTTTTCTAAAAATTCTGTTTATAAATTCAAGTTGTAGATTTTTACTAAGAGTCATCACATGATAAAAATGATCGCAGTCTGAATGTTTAGCCTAGTTCATTGAACTAGAATCGAAGAATCATTGAATTGGTATACGAAGAATTATTCAACAGATATTTAATTGTACAACCTTTAAAACACCGTTTATAACACTATGAAAAATATTCAATGAATTTTATTTGAGTTTCTCTTGGGATTAATTCCTCACTCCTGATAATAAGAATAACAGTAGTGATGACGTTTCAGGTACCTTCTACAGTGCAGTATTATCACTCAAGAGATTATAATTCGATTAAGTGATTATTACAGAAACGGTATAATGGCTACTCAACTATTAAACTGTAGCACTGACATTAGTTGTCATTTTAGAGAAGATTTGTAAACAGTTAGCATTTAATGTGATAGCTATCTGAAAAAAAAAAAGTATTTATGTTACACCTAGTTCTGGGGGGGGGCGTTTTCTCTCCATAATGATAAATTATTTATAATATAGACCAATTTTATGTAATAATCATGATTTTATAATCATGATATCGGAATTCGACTTCAAAAAGCAAGCAGTTTCAAATTTTCTGCTACTGTATTGAATAAATTAAAAAAACAGCATCGCTTTTATACCTCGTGTTTCGATGCCATTGGAGCCAAAATATTTCTTTAATTGCAGTCCTAAACTTACAGCTTCAATTAGGACAATTTTGTTTGCATAACACATTTAAGCATATATTTTTAATAGGGCCCGAAAGATGAAAAGTAATCAGTGAGGAAAAAAATAATCTTTCTTTTTCTGAATTAAGCAAACTAAAAAATTCCATAGTCAAGCGATCGAGATTGCTTGATACGACAGCAGCTTTATACAAATATTACTAAATTGAAATATCCATATAAGTTCTGGAATGCAAATTTCTGAAAGATGCCTTTTATATCAGACAACATGAATAACGAGTATGAATATGACAGAAATATTGCAGACATATTGAAATTTCAACTCTTAAAAAACCTAAAATTCGAAAACTTTTAAACATAGTTCACTTTTTACAAGGATCTCTCGATATTCCTTTTCTTCTCAATGGAAATCCATACTTCCTACAAAATTTAAAGAGTAATTTTTAGTATTGGAGAATTATTTTTTGGAGAAACATAATAAAGAGCGATGAACTGAAACTTCCCCAGTAAAGCTGTAAAGAGCATGTATAAGTATTTAAATTTTGCGTACACTTACTGAAAGGTGTTATATGACTTAAGCTTTATATTTATACTTATATTTTTACTTGCATTTGATTTATTCCTTAAATTGAGGGAATTGGTTTATGAAAATTTATTACAGAAATATTTAACATGCAATCTTTTCAAAACATCTCGTATAACAATTCTTTTATTTTCCATCCCTACTGTAACAGCATTGTAAGATAATTTTTGTTTTAACTTATTTTACGAATCAGGTCTTACAAATCAGCTTCTTAATTGTCTTTCTCATGTTATGAACAAGCATTATATGTTATACATATAACATTTATCAAAGTTAAAAAAGAATGTAATTTAAGTTAGGGTTAATTAAAAAAATCCCCAAATGCGAGCTTTTATAGTAATTGTCTATAACGTTTGTATCTAACTATCATTGAATAAGGCTTCGCTTACACAAGTAGTACGCATAGCTCTTAAAAGTAATTTAAATCCTGCACGTACAGAAATTTTAAGATTTTACTTCTCTTCCAGGTTTTATTTCTTCATTAAATAGACCTTCCTCGACCAAAATCCATGTCCTCTTCGACCAAAATAGGAAGTCTTAATCATTTAAACTTCAAATGATCTTGCTATGAATTGGACGAAATTACTGTTTTAGACTGTTTTACCACTGCGCATGATGGACTCATTTTATGTGGGTCACACAAGAAATAATTATATAGTTGCTTAATTGGAAGTTAGCTTAGTCTATTAGTCTGTTGTGGTGTTCGCTTAAAGAAATTTACTTTCGTTTCCACTGCTTTTAAATATCAAATGTTCAAGTCAAATGCGGTAAATCATTTCTTTTAAGTTAATTGCTCGCTGTGAGTAATTTCACATAGTAACCTAAAAACAAATTAAGAATTTGAAATTACTGAATGCAATTAATTGTTAAACGTGGAAATATATAACTCAGTTGGCTTTCTTTGATTTTTAGTATTGACCTTAATAGAAAAGAACGGCATTAAAATTATAAATTTCTAACACTGAATTATCCCTGTGGTTGACCTAGATTCACACTTTCAACTGTTTCGCTGTAATTTCATTAAATGGCATTTTGACTTTAAACATATGAGGCTCTGCTTGATCTGGAATTGTTGCTCAGTCCAATAACCCCAACAGACGTAAAGCAAATTATCGCTATGTTTGGAAAAACTACAAAGTCGAAAGAAAGATTTAAACAACCTGTAGAGTATCATTTAATTTTTTTAACCTGCTATTTTAAGTACCTTTACAATCAAATCTTATTGCGTTTCCCTTCCAGAATACAAATTTCTATCTAGCCCGCTCGATATTCAAATTAGGTAGAAAGAAGGAAATATTTAAAGAAAGTTTTGGAAGGTGAAATAAGAGCGCGTTGTCCATGATTGAAGGCCACGATGCTAACTTGATTCTCTAGCGATTAGGGTTCTGCAAAGTTAATTTATTCTTGACATTAGACTTGTTTACGCCGGCTTCGTGTCAAAGCCAACTTGCACGGTAGTTAAACTGTGAAGCCGTTAAGCTATACTTACTTCAGCAATTTTTAAATATTTCATTCCTTTTGATTTCAGCCAAAAGTCTTGGCATTTTAAACACGAGTTAGTGCAAACTGTTAAACTTTATTTTAGTTAATAAAGGGTTCTATACACCCTTCTTCTGACTTTGAAGGACTTTTTAAAGACTTGGTGATATTTCACTAAATAGTCTTCAGTGTCGCGTATATTTTATTATAGCTAAGAAAACGTTAAAAATCTTTTTATTTAAGCAGAAATTCAGAACATAAATAGTAAATATTATACGAAGCTGCACAGTAATTCTAAACGGAGTGTCAAAATCAGTTTGTGTCGGCAGAGAATAATGCAAAGCCGAAATTTATAACTATCAAACTTTCAAGAGCTAAGCATAGCGTGCATGCGCCGGCCAGAAACGCACTCGGTCTTGAAACTCCAAACACCTCAGTTTAAATACTATCTAACTCATTTACATGCTGGTGAGGAAACGGAGAAGACAGCTTACAGTAAAGTCTGAAATTATAAATAAATGGTTAATTTAAATAATAAAACTATCTATTACTAGGTATCTCGGTCTTTAATTCGGCTAGAGTTATTACTTTTTAAGCACTAATGAAGCTCACATTTATTATCATATGGGTGCATTTAGGTATATTTTTTTTAAATTTATTTAGCTATAAATAAAAAATCGTTATTTTAAAGTATTTTTTTCATTTATTTTATCTTTTGTTTGTTTGGATCAGATCCTGAAATAAATTTTGACCGCCCTCCCTCTTATACTCTTCCTGAAAGATTTAAAGATTATTTTTCTTGAAGCATTTCATATTTGCTATAACAATATAATATTTTAGAGTAATTCGATCCACCAAAAGTCTAGAGCATAAAGATGCTGAATATCTGTAATTCAACCGTGTTGTAATACTGCGAGCGGGCTAATTGCGCGGGAAAATGTATTCAAAGGAAATCTATTGTCATTTCCCGAAATAAAATATTTTTATCTTCCATTGTGTTGCCATTTGGTAAAGGGTAAGATATTCAATTTTCTTTTAAATTCAGTGTCTCTTGTCCATTATTAAAGCCCACCAGTGGCCGAGTGGTAAAATCGCTAAACACTGGTAGTTCGGTCCAAGGTTCGAATCCCGCGAACGAGCTGGCTGCACGGGCGTTTTCGTGATTTTTTTATGTGTAACATGTATACGAGCCAGTTTCCCTTAAAACGTCCTCCACGAAGGCATTCCTCTCCTTAGGCGGATAGCCTTCGAGTGCTTTACCATAATCAAATAAACCAAACTATTAACAAATTGAGCAATTTAAAAGAAATAAACGCAGTTTGTCATTTTATTTAATTTTTACAACAAGGTAAACATATGAAATTACAGTAACTAGACTCATTATAAGGGTTATATATTTTTCTTTCTCGTAATAACTATTTTAGGCGACTAGTCATTAGAAAAAAAGGCGTCTCGCAGGGACTAGTCCGGAACAAGTTTATTTGATTTACTACTCGGTGGTCTCGCTAATTACTCGCTAAATATTTCTCGTCTGCAGAAAAGAAAATTATCTGAAAGAACTCGTAGTAGCACTGACACTGCAACATCTCTAGTGACTGGAGGCATCGAAAAGAGAATAAGTTGAGTTTAAAAGAGTGAGTTTTAAAGAGTAAATTGAATCTATAGTATTGTGTGTTGCTCTTCGATCTGAAAAATTGACTTTTCAACAGCTTTATCTTATTTCCTCTTCCAATAATACTGTCATTACATGAGGAAATCAAACACATCTAACTCATTTTGTAGTTGCTGTTCACTAGTTATTTTGTAAATTAATTGCATTATTTCTTTTTATTTTCAAATGCAGGCAAATGGACTATTTACTAATCACGTGTTAAGATAAGCTGGCCAAGTATGGAAAGTGTACTTGTGTTTCGCCATATCCAATGGAAACTCTGAAGAGTTATTATTCTAACAGGAAAAGTACAATAATTGTAAATATTCAACAGGAATGTTCAACAGCTTTGTTACTTTGTGAATTTTCATTTTTAAACAATTGTACGAGAAATATATTACAAATACAACCCATATCCTATGAAATGTTGCGAAACATCGAGTTTAGCTACTCATCATGATGTTATAATCATTTAACATAAAGTAGCATCATTTTCTTGAATGCGAATGCTTATCATTCACTGCCAATGTAGAATAATTTTGTTCTTATATATTTGTTATATAGATAAATGTATGTATTTGTTGTCTATTTATTGAAATAAAGTCTTTTGTAACATGATCTCGAAGCTATTTATTTGAAATTACACTTGCCATGGAAAATTACTAATGATTCCTTGTAAGAAAATTTTTCTTAAAATGCTTTCCTCGAGTGCATAATACGTAAGCACTGACAATTATAAGTTAAATTTAACTTTAATTTTTCTTGGGTTACATAATTACGTGGGTTAAGATGGTCTTAAATATCATAACTGACAATAAAAGTAAAAGGATATTTTTAACAAAACGATGTCTTACAGAATAAATATACTTTGGGAAAAATTGAAAAACGAAATATCGAAATACCAATAATGCTTTAAAGTAAACTCAATGCAGTTCGTATTACACTATTTAAAACCTTTCCAATCTCTTCATTGCGGCCGATTTTTATACAGAGCACGTGTGACAGGTTCGCCTCCAACCGATGAGAATTTTTCAATGAATTCCTTATATTATAAAAATTCTATGTGCTGCTAAATGGTTAGGGAAGCCTATTGAGGTGATGAAGGGCCAGGGTTCGAATACCGGAGAAGGTATAGATGTTTATTCTCTCGAGTGGTTTAGTGGAAGGTGAGAGGGATGAGAAAACACCTCGGGGCGCTTTCCCTCAAAACCTAAGGTGGAAATAGAAGTCCAATCTTCTTGAGGCTCTGACAACCATTCTCCCATGATGTACATAGACAAGAACAGCAACTAGCTTGATGTGCCCAGCGTTTCTTGAGCTTTTGTGTAATTGCACTTGCCTAGGTTTGCTAGCGCTTTAAGTTCGCAGGATGACGGCGCTAATAGGGAAATAATTATGAAACAATGATCTTGGTAATTAGAAGTCACAGTTATTGACCTGAGTATTTACAATAACAAAGCTGCAATGTGAAATTACACGATTTTATCAAAAATCGTCTTCATTATTCCACATCAAACAAAAATGAAAAATAGTTAGCATAAGCTATCCTGGAACGGATAACTAGAGGGAGATTCTATAAAAATAACTGTGCATTTACAGCCCGTCCTTAGGTTATGTTAATTATCAGTGCGATGTCAATCTGATAGAAAATTTAAGCTTGTAAAGCTGAATGGCATATTTCTTGGTGTTAATGGTACAGAACGGCATAAAACCAATATCTTCTACTTTGCCAATCGTTGTTTTCTTTTCAGTAACACAGGATAAGACTTTTTTAATGCGTAATCTTCTTCCAATATACGGTTATGCTGGCGTACGTTTCCGGAAAAATCGTTACTGTAATTTTTAATTTTAAATAATACGGTGGTGTCTTAGTGGCGGTCAGCCAGATGAGAAACTTTGTTGTAGGATAAATCGCATCCTCATGATTATAAAGGTGTCTGTTGACTTGCAGGGAAACCTGGAAACTGTTCCTGAATCTGGTTATTTATTCCATCCAGACAATCGTTTCTAGTAAACTAGGATGTCTCATTCCCTTAATCATTTAGGATTTTTGCAATTTTTCCTCATTTATCAGGGCCAACTGGAAGAATATTTTCAACAATAAATAAAAATTTTAAAAAATAATACAGATATAAAGAAAAGTCTGAAAGCTTTCACGTTTTACATCAGAACCTTTTTTTAAAACTTTTTTTAAGAGAGGCTTTTCTCAACGTTTTGTGTGATACTTTATTTATTAAATATCATGTTCTTTGCACTTAAACCATAAAATTCAATTCAACAGCAATGTCGCAAAAACATTTTTAAATGAGCGAAGCTTTAGACTTAGACAATACACAGTCTTGCGCGCTGGAGATAAAAATGTTTTTCTTTTCCGTACAGTGTTGCCATTGCTCGCCTTAAAATCGTTTAGTTCCTTAACCAAAAACTCATAAATGCTTTTCAAAATATGAAATAGGTAGTAAAACAAATTCCTAAATCCAAATTTGGGCTTCCAGATGCCCATATTCAGGTAGAGACGTGCATTATTCAAAATTTGATGGCTCTAGGTACCATCGTTTTATCACAGTGCAAGAAACATACATACATTTATACAGATTCTTCATTATTTAATTTCTTTAAATATAAGACAGGGCGATAATATTTGGTGACAGCAATTTTAAAAGTGATTCGCCGTTTATAGTGAATCGACGCAAAATACCAAAACAAAATTAATAGCCCTTCTGAGCTAACGCTCCTTTGGACTAAAAATAAGAAATCAACTTCAAAATACTACTGAAGAATAACTCCTTTAAAGCATCCATCAGTAGTAGGTTTTCCATATGTTAAGAGATAATAAAATAAATCTGCTTTAAATAAAGAATTAATACTTTCAGTATTTTACTTGAATATACTGACATGTATGCAATTAGCATGCAAAAATATATAAAACAGAAACGCTAAGAGCTGCGTGTAAATAATTAAGAATGTACATTTCATCTATGACCGTACTGAGAGAAGTCAACGTTTTTCTTCTGAATTTTTTCCAAACATATACTATTTGCCAGTTTTATACTGAATTCATGTATTATAGTAAGATAATAATATCGTAAAATATTATCTGAAGCAAAAATAAGTATAAATTAAATTATATCTGAAGCAAAAATAAATATAATTTTCTCTTTTTCCTGCAACTGTTTTTTTGGGGGTGCTGGCACAAGTTTGTTAGATGTTAATCCTATTTCTATGTACTCTGTTAGTATTTTGTAGGAATCGAGACAAATCATAAATATTTTACACAATGTAAAGGCCTTTCACGCTATTTTAAACCGTTTGCAATGTTGAGATTGATTGGAATTCACGATGATTTATTACGATTTTACAACGAATAAGGACAGCCAGGAGTTACTTCTGTTTCCTATAGCTGCGATGGCGAAATTCAAAAGTAAAACTACGATTAGGCTTCATCATCTAACTGTACAGCATTGTGTTTTAATTTAAAATACTTTTAATGATGTTTTTGATGCCTTTTAGTGATTATACTAAGTAAATGTACAATCAGTCTTCTCGGCATTACAGCTCAGGTAATAACTTTTGCAGAATTACGTTTGTAAATAAATGAAGTAGCTTTATTAAAATAAATTACCAACACTCATAAAAAACTGTCTGAACAGACAGAAATTGTTAAAACAATAATAAATAACCTAGAAACATTGCACATCATATTAGCCATGAACACTGTACATTATAATTGTCATGAACATTGTACACTATATTAGCTATGAAGAATGCATACTGTTACTCATAGTAATACAAATTCTAGTTACCTAATTAACTGCCATAAAATTGATAAATATATTTTGTTAACTGCTTCAGTATGACTTCTATTCTGAGAAAGTCTGAAATACCGAAAACAGCGACCTTATGAAGAGTTGGCAACCGACTTATTTAATATACTATTTAATTATACTATTTAATACCGATAGATGGCACCACAAGTTCAGATTTCTTTTTCTTTACCATAAATGATAAAAGACTTTTAAGATAACCGATTAGAAAAGAAAAACTCATTCTTTTTACAAACAAATGGGGTTTTCATCCGCAGAGAACCCGTTAGCGCTTCGGGAAAGAACCTATTGGCGCCGTTGCATTTTTACTCGCCAAGCTCGCGGTTCATCGGCGATGAGCCGAGCCGCAAACGTGATATTTTGTAAACGTGATTTTTAGTGCATGTAAATTCAAGTTAGCAGACAAAACAATATATTAAGCATATGGTAGTAAAAATTCACAGGTAATAAGCATGTAGATGTAAAACTAACTTGTTAAACGTGATATACGAAAATTATATTAAATTCAAGTTAGCACAGAAAAGAATATATTAAGTATAAGACAATATATAAGCATTTATAACGGAAATAAAAATTCATTTGAAAAATATAAATTAGTATTAATGTACTGAAATTAACCTGTTAAACGTGATAAACAAAAAAAAAAAAAAAAAAATTGTCTTAAATTCCAGTTAACACAGAAAACAATATATTCCTTACACCAGCAGTGGTTTGCTAATTTTGATGACCATGGTGATGCATCAAACTATTCTGTCATGTTAGATAATCAATAATCTTTTTTATTTCAACTTAATCATCTATTTATGTCACACCTGCCATCCTCTGAAAGGTTATTGTTAGAAAAGCATTAACAATATATTATCTTGTTAAAATTTTGCGCCAGAAAATTGATTTATTCTCATAATTTTAGATGACAATAACCAATAATAAAAATAAAAGCATTACTTAGTTATTTAAATTGCTGGTTCTTAGAGCTGTTAATAATTAAGAACACAACGTGAACAGCCGTGTTACAAATTAGCATTCACCCCTCCCGCCGTATTTTCTTCCTTTCATCCCGAACCGAGAACCGGCATCTATCTACGAAAATATTTCTATCTATTCGTTGTTAAAAAATTCAGAAAAAATAATAATAAATAAGAGAAGAATAATATAAATCTGCAAATGCGAACAACGACAGTGATAATTCAACAAAATGAACGCAAGAGGAATGGTTGCAAACTTCGAACAAGCGAATAGGATAAATCCGCTGGGTTACCGGGTTTGAACTATTATCGCCAAAGTTGGCGATGTTTACATTTACCGGGTTCTCTGCGGAAGTGCTTCCAACAAATGGCTTGCTCGTTTCCTTTCGCTTAGAAAAATATTATTGCATCGAAGCGTTTACTGTCTACATCAACGTTTCTTAAACTGTATACCATGGAATCCTGGGACTTTGTAACATTCAAGAAAGTAACTTAAAAAAAAGTAATAAAAATTAATGCCTTTACCAAATTTTAAAAATAGAATAAAATCAATCCTCGCTTCCACATACTAATTTCCATTGTCGATGCAAATACGACGGTCCTGATGTCACAAACTATGACTGTGTCATCAGGAAATTTTTGCTCGAAGAACTTCCAACGAGTTTTTATTAGCTGATCGTTCACTTATCTGGGGTTGAAATATAAGTAATGGCCGTTTTTCTAATTTAAAAATTTGTATTTTAACAAAACAAAAAACAATAAATTAGTGAATTATATCCGAGTTTTTTGGAACTCCCCATAGACTCGGCGCCTCGATTAAACGCAAAAA